AATCTTCTTACTCTAGATTCAAGTAATTGACTTCAAAATGAATAACCAAAAATGCTTTCCATTTCTATATCGTATTGTAGTCAATCACTTTATTATGGAAACTAGACTGAGACAGCTTTTTCATCAGGATCTCCTCCAGGGAATCAAGATCTGCGGAATAATAAGGAAGCATAACAGCTACTGCCTGAAGTGTACTATACTGGTTACATTTTTGACAGTGACAAGGTTAAATTCCAACTTCAAGCTTTCAAAGTAGAAATAAATGTCAGAACAACAGCAACAAAAAAGCAATGACTGCTCTTCAACTTTAAAAAAAATGCATACCCTGTGTAGCATTTCAACTCCTGTTTCCCCAGATTTTAATGAGGATAACCTACAGAATATGGATACAAAGAAGACCAGTTGTGTGCCAAATTGGAGTTCTTTCTCATATTTTTCTACTTTATTTACTATTATATTGATCATTTGGCACTTATGCATACAATTAAATCCTAATTTAAATCAATTTCCATTTGCCTTCTGAAGAATATGAGGGCTTATATTTTTTAGAAGGTATGACACAATGTGGTAGCTAATACGAAAACCACAGCAAAGAACAGACCGAAACATCTGGAAGTCCAGCTTTTTCTTTCAACTAGTGCAGTAGATCAGTGTGGGCAATACAATACATCCCAAGCTAAATGAACTGAAGCTAAAAATGAAGAAGCCCAGTACACAACTGTGGGGCAGCCTAAGTGCCATTCTGCTATGACATTACACTTTGTTTTATGGTTAAGCAGTTCTCCACAGAGCTGACAACTATAGACAGCACATTCATATATTTGCACAGACCATTTCATTATACAGCATTCAAATCTGAAGATGACACTAAACTAGCAAAAATTAGCAAGCCTACTTACATCAAAGGGAAATGTTAAAATATAAGCTAATGAAAAAAGAAGATGTTTCAATAAAACATGCACTCTTATTAAAGTATGCAAGATTCATAATTAGAAATTCAAGATCACAGGACCTTACCCAGAAAGTAGCGCTACAAAAGCTATGTCTTTGGCAGTAATAATTAGAAATAACTCAAGAATGCAACATTATCACCTTTTTTGCAGGTTTCACCAGAAAAAAAAACATGAAAAACTGAATCCAGTGTCAGCCATTCTTAATATCCCAACATCTTGAGCGCCTCCGAGTGCTCAAGACATACATTTGTATGTCTGGAACATGCTGCCACAGGACATGCCGTGTATTGTTTAAGGTCCTTGGCACTAGATTAAATGCTGGTCTATGAAGGATTTAAAATTAATTTCACCAATCTTGCTGTAACATAGCAAATTGTACAACATAAGCACTCAGCTCAGAGGACCCTGAAATGAAATAAATTGTGCAACTTCTTGATGATAACTTGCAGAAAAATGGTCAATTATGCACATACTTTTCCCTCCAATCCCTTGAGGATAATAAAGAACACCTATTGTTAGAGATCCTTGACATAAGATTAACTGCTGGTCCGCAGAGGATATCAGATTAATGTCACCAATCTTGCTGTTAAACTGCAAGATGTACAGAAGCACCTATCTTAGAGGACCCTGATCCAAGATAAATTGAGCAACTTCTTCTAGATCATCACCTCCAGAAAAATGGTTAATTATGCAAATACTTCATCCTCCAATCGCTTGTTCTCAGGCACTGAATAACATTAGTCAAGAACAGTTATAAATATGCATCTAATTAATAATTTTTTAATGTGGAAAAAAAAAATACTGTAGTTGTCCCAGAGACAATGTATCTTAGAGGAGAGGATTTCTTAATGAAAAAGAAGGCAAAACAGAACAAATCACAACCCAATGAGTTAAAATATGAAAATTCAAAATGCCCCCAAATCTGCTCAGTGTAACATTTTAAAGATGGAAAATAATTGTGTCCACACTGTGTTGTTTACATGTTTATTGTGTGCATACAAATCCAGCATTTGAGTATCTTGCAGAAGTAAACTTTGGGATTTTTTTGTTTGTTTGTTTTGTTTTCTTCCCTCTTTGTTCTGTGAGATTATAATTAGTAAAGTTCTTTGTTTGGAAAAAAATAAAAAATAAATCTATGTATTAAAGAATACTGCAGACAAGTTAACATTCTTTTGGACAATGAACAGTTATTAAGCTTTAACTTCTTTTTTGCTTTCTCTAACATGATCAGGAAACTTTACTACAAGACCACCAGAAAACTTCATTATCTTTATAATGAGGTAGTGACTTTATAGTGACTTTAACTCTCTCCAGATCCATGCTAAGTAGGAAAATAAATCTGCCCACACCTTAATGGGAACTGGTCAACAAATATCACATAATTTATCCAAAAGTTTCCTTACGAAAGACAGTCAGTCATCCATTATCAATCCAGGAAACAAAGAAGGAAATTTTTTAGTATCTGTGGCCAAAGATACAGAAGCTGTCAGTACCACACAGAGGGACAAATTGTGTTTAAGGTCAATAATCAAGGAATTACAAGTTCTACTCTCATTTCCATATTGTGTCTTGTTTGACCTAAATAAATATTTTATATTTTATTCAAACTTCAGTGATACCGTAGTCCTCACCATCCATATCCTAACAAATTAAAAAAGTTTATATTGGTAAAGTCAAAAGGAAGCATATATTTTTCTAACTCATTTCACATGTACCAGTACATACATGCAAAAATCCATCTTTCTTCCTCAGAGGAGACCCATAACTGTGGTTAAAGCAGTGAGCCTAGCTCAGAACTAGTGCTACACCTTGACAGGAGTACAGATTGTGAGATAGAAATGCACCTCTTTTCTGCACACACATGACCGGGCTCCTAATGGCTCCAACACCATCATCACCTGATGGAACTAAGTTTGGGCACCCCTGGCTGGAAGATGAAAAGTCTCACACTAAGCATGAAAATACAGCAGAAAGGGTTTGAAGTGTGAGCTAACCTGCAAAGAAAACTTTCTTGGTAAGATAACATAACATAGGCACTAATCTCGTGTACTATTTACACAGAAGATTTGCACAAGAGAAAATTAAAACTGCAATTGCAAATACATGTATCAAATAACTGAGGAACCATTTGGACAAAACACAGGTGCACTACTCTCAATTGTACAGACTTGGCTTTCACAACAGAAATTAGCAGGAAGGCTGCTTATCTAAGGGATTCTGTGCTGCAAAACACAGAAGAAAAGATGAAGATCCTATGCCCTCTTATGGGAAACCTCAGGGCTTGGAAGGTATAAACATAAATCAACTTGCCAATAATATCAACAGCTACAATAATAAGAATCAAAGGTAAATAATAAGAATCAAAGACACATTATCTGCTAGCCCTATTTCAAATTCTAGATTTCTTGGGCAATGTCTAAATGCATGCTTTATAAAGCACATTATGTTTGCAACATTTGATCTGCTCATCATATCCAACAACAAATCCGTGAAGCATACCCCAACATCATTTCATGAAAATATCCACTCCTGATATGACTAAGCACTAATAATGTTCTTCCAAACAATCTTTCAAACAATCTTTCATGCTGGAAACAGGCCCCTGGCTAAAGCACAACAGGCATATACTTTAATAACCTCTTGATTACCTGGATACAGCCTGGAACACCTAATAAATCTGTCAATTTTTCAAGTGGAGTGGGATTGATTTCCCCAGGGTTTCTTTGTCAGTTCCGCTTTAGTACTTAATATGAAGAGAAAATTATCAGAGAAGGTCAAATCTGACATGAAAAACTAGAAGATGTAGACACTGATGAAGACTTTTGCTACATCTGAAATAAATGTCTACTTGCTTTTTCTCAGGCCCTATCTTCATTCAGTCTTTATTTAACATAGCATATGCTTCATGGTTTGTAACAAGCCCAATCACAGCTCAGCAACATGCTCAAATAGCCAGGAGTTTCAACATTTGGATAGCAATTAAATAAAAAAGATTGTTTTTTTTTCTTGTCATTTTGCTATCAAAATTAGTCAATGGTGTTTACCGCAATCATTAATTCTTACCGCAGAAAATTACTTAAAATGAGAGATCTAAGTAGACATTTGAGACATACCAATCATTTTAATCCTCAATTATCTAATGAAGCCAAATTAATTAAGAGATCTTCCATTCTGTGTATATTCCATTTTCATGTCACCCTTCAATACCATAAACATATGCTATACTGTCTTACAACGAAGTTTAGCCGTCGGTTACAAACAGCATACAAATGTCTTGCTCTAATCCTCTTTGTTCTCTCATTAAAAACCAAATTTGATAGGAACTTGTGCTAGATTTCTTCTCTTACTGTAGAAATGGAGATTTAAAGTATGCTTTTTTTAAAGAGTACTAACAAAAATATAGACAAAAGAACATAGATTTTAAAAAGGCAAGAGAACAGCACAAATGATACTACAAACAGTTAAATAATATATTTGGCCAGGCTATTAAAAATGTAGGTAATTACATTTAGTATGGATGAAAGTAATTATGCATATTCATTTTGATATTCCCTATAGTGAGCATCTACCTCGAAGTTTAGAATGTTCTTTAAAGTTTTAATGGTTAATCCTTTAAATCATTTCATTATATAACTGCACAGATAAAAAGTAGAAATCTTTTTACAGTTTAAAGAAACTACATTTTTCAGATTTATCTATAAAGACTGGCAATATTATCAATGTAGTATAGTGTGCTTAATGCAAAATCCTATCAATTACCAGGCTTTTATCACATTGTTTAGAATTAAACACTTCACATCTGCACACAAATTTTCAGGGTTAGATCCTGAGATCCTGTAAAATTTTTATTCTTGTAAATAATGTATTGCACAAAGCTATTTCTGTTGATTTCTTTGTATGTTGATAGATGTGTAAGACTTTATCTTGGAAGTAAGTTTTTTTTAATGTTTTATCCCCATTAGACAATGATACACCAAAGGAAATCAGTCTCAGAGCACTTTTTAAAATTCACTTTTGAAAGGAAGTAAACAAGAACATGTATTTTACCTGAGTCTCCACACCTTGCTCAAGCAACCGTTTAGCCTGGCTTTCCACCTCAAGCCGAGCTCTTCCAATAAAAAGCAGGTCATTTTCAATTACTTCTATTCCAGAGAGATCTATCCCTTGAGAAAGGTAATCTATAAAAGCAACAAAATATTGATAAGCATGACCTATGGTAATGGAACATTTTAAACAAACATTTAGAAGTTACAGTTGGCTCCAAGGAACATTTTGACAACAGAGTATGCCAAAGCAATGAATTATTCAAAAAGCCTGAAAATCAAAAGACTAACTACAATCAAAAGACTAAAAGACTCCAGAAAACATGGATATTACATACATTAAATTTACCTCTCTACATACATTAAATTTACCTCTCTAGACCTAGACACTTCAAAAGAGGTGTAAATTCACGGAATTCCATAATCTCAGTGTGCAAAGGGGCAAGAAGTCACAGCCTCATCCCAGAGGATTAACTCTGTAAATGAACTTCTCTAACCAGGTTTGCTCCAAGATCTGAAATCCTCTATGTATTATAAGCTTATATATTTAAATTATACTCCATGTATATAAATTACAATTACAAACATTAGGGATCAAATACAGAAAGAAGAAAAGAAGAAAGAGAAGAAGACATTTTCAGTAGCAGAACCATATTTGTTTTCATAATAGAAACCACCCCACCATCAATGTGACATCTGCAGAGTAGTAGGCAGGACTGGTGACTGCAGCTGGAAAATCTATTCAAACCTGACCTCTCTCACTAGCTACGAAGATGTGGCCAAATTGCTTAATCTTTGATGAATAGTCCCACTGTAATTAGAGCACTTCAGCAAGTTGAAAACCCCACTCTTCATCTCTTTATCTCAGGAGCTTTGAACCTGCAACAATCTTTCAGATGCACTTTCTTTTAAAGACAATGACACTCTAATCTCTGCTCTTTGGACTATTTACACTTTTCACATGGGGAAATTTTAGATACGAAACACAGTCCAGGAAGTAAAAAACAATTTTTCAGACTCCTCGAGACACCTGACCTCTATGCTAAGTAGTTCCCTGCTGCTGGCTCTCTGCCTGGTCTTGCACTCCTGACCTAACTAGTGACCACCTCTGAAAGAAGGGCCGGAGGATGTCTCTTCCCAGACATCTTTGGCTTGTTTGTGGTGCTCTCTTGCGATGCAAGAACTGTCTATTCAGCCTCCTTCAGGCTAGAAGGGTCTTCAGTGTACCAAAGGAACCTTCAAAGTTAGACAATTATGCTTTTTTTTTTTGCTTTTTTTTTTTTTTAATCCTTCTAGATCTAAATCACTCCAATTCCCTGTGTCAGGATTGCTTAGGCCTTGACACTGCTGCTTATCTGCAAGACAATGCAGAACTGCTCGCATTTACACAATTATCAGCATTTTGCACAATCAAGCATGGGTTCCACTCCTTCTTTTGAAAGATTCAATAAAATTAATTAAATCATCATAGAATGGCTTAGGTTGGAAGAGGCCTTAAAGCCCACCCAGTTCCACCCCCCTGCCATGGGCAGGGACACCTCCCACCAGCCCAGGTTGCCCAAAGCCCCATCCAGCCTGGCCTTGGACACCTCCAGGGATGGGGCAGCCACAGCTTCTCTGGGCAGCCTGTGCCAGGGCCTCGCCACCCTCTGAGTGAAGAATTTCTTCCTTGTATCTAATCTAAATCTCCCCTCTTTTAGTTTAAAACCATTCAACCATGTCTTATCATTATCCACCTGAGTAAAGTGTCCTTCTCCATCCTTTTTGTAAGACCCCTTTAAGTATTGAAAGACCGCAATGAGGTCAATCCAGAGCCTTCTCTTCTCCAGGCTGAACAGCCCCAGTTCTCTCAGCCTTGCTTCACAGGAGAGGTGCTCCAGCCCTTTGATCATCTTCGTGTCCCTCCTCTGGGCCTGCTATACTTCCTTCATAAGACAATGTTGCACTATTTCCATTAATAACCGGCCCATTATGAATTCCTAATAAAGTTATCTTCCTTTAATGTCCTCCCAGTAAGTTTATTAAGGCACAGACTTAAATTCCCACTAAGCCAGCTGAACTTTTAAATCTTTGACAAATAACCTTTCACTTTAGTAGCCAATTCTTTTTGTTTATTCACAATAAACTCATCTAAGCATCAGGTTAATTTTAGCAACCACATGTTCTTAACTGAACACAAAACTCCAAGTGAGTGACTTCACAGCTACACAGAGAAGAAAATCTCTGTACCTGTATATGAAAAACTGCATAAGAAATTGAAATTAAAAAAAAAAAAATCCAGAACTGCTGCATAAAGCTGAGTTAGGAATCAAGGAAATCAACCTGCTTAACAGTACCGCCTGTTAAATAGGCTTCAGCCTACTAAGAATAGGCCTGCAAATGGTTTTGTCTGTATGCATTTGTTTAAAAATTGATCAGGGAAGTCAAAGGACAGCTGAGCAGCAGGAAAGAACATTTCATGCTGCACAGGCTATTACTGAAGCCCTATACAAATGCATGTTTACAAAGCTGCTTTTGCTGGGGGCCATGGCAGTCCCTCACACCCAGGCATGAGTAACTTACTCAGCTGACAGTGACTTTTTGCTGTGACTGTGCTGCGTGTATAGAGGTGCTCCTATTAAAACTAAAACTAAGCTTCCACTGCCTTTGATTAGTAACTTCAGCCAAAAAGTATCTTGAGCGTGAACACCGGTTTCCTGACCCCTTCCCTCAGCTGACACATTAAAAATTAAAAATAAATTTTTTTAAAAAAAGGTGCAAAGACTAAGGACTAAGTCTACTGCAACCATAAACCTTGAAGTAGTTTCTTGGCAACATAGCATAAAAAATATCTTCAAAGAGTTACCTAATCCAAAAAAAAAAAAATGCTGTGGAGTTCACTTATGTGATAAAATCATATTCTACAACCCCAGGCTGTTAAAATAAAATTAAAACACGGTTCCGATCTCCTAAATATCTGTGAAAAATAAATAAAGAAGAGACTGTTTCTCCCTTCCGTATTTTATCTCAAAACCTAAATTAGGCCATTTCAGGCGCTAAAAATCTAATCAGTGTGATGCTTCCATGGGAGGCACAGCGAGCCCATGCCGCTTTGGCTTCTCCAGATACTCCATCTGCGCCTCAGACTGGCAGCCACCTCCTGCTTATCTGCCAAAATCTGCAGGTTCATTTCAGATTTCCTGCAATCCTTACAAAATGCCTTGGGACAATGTATTTCAGTAGGACTTCAAAACGGAGAGCCTTTCTGAGGGTTCAGCAGCTAGACAGCCTACCCTGGCTGCTGCGAGTTACCGCCCTAACCCGTGGGGAAGCCCTAGCAATCCTATTGTACCGCTTTCAAAAGAAAAGCAGCTTTCGTGAGGACAGTAAGTCTACAGTAAGAACATCTGCAAACGCTTTCCTGCCATTCCTATATAATAGCAGAAGCTTCGACGCCAGCAGGACACCTTTGGATACTTTTTCTTGTCTAAGCAGACAGCATAATATCAGAAATATATATATATATATATATATATATATTATTTATTTTTTTCTTTGCTCCTGCATTGCCACCAGTAAAGCTGTCACGGCTGACCGTGCAGGTGAAGTGCAGCAGAGGCAGCTGGCACAAGCACAGCCAGATCGTAGCCAGACCCTTGGTGCATTTAGGATCCAGTTTAGTTGCCTTATTGCAGAGGAACCTGCACATTTTGAAGTGCAGGCTGTAGTTAATAAAGAAAACACGTCACGTGAACTACAACAAAGATACTAGCAGTTGTTAATCCAGGGACTAGAGAAGGCAGAATTTTGCTCCAGGCATTTGTGCAGCACCATCACCCTGCTCCTTGCTGTGTACAGCCTACGGTCACGACCAAAGAAATATGGGTGAAATGGGCTGTAAGGTATTTGTGTCTATTTACAGAGAATGAAGCAGCTGCAAAGGCTTCCACATATTCATCTTCCAGGTATTGCAGGCTCTGCAGACCAGGGCCCAGGTTAAAATTTGTCAGCTTTCCTCTATAAAGTCAAACGAATCAATCACTCTTAGACTGGGTCCCCATCACTCCAACAGGGGCAGCAGGATTTCCACACTCCTGCCCTTCACCCTAAAGCTCCCAAGTAAAACTAATCCTACATTAACCATTACAGATTTATTGAGTACAGTATTTATAACGAAATAAGGGAACGCTTGTGCTTAAAATGAATCAGGACCTAAATATATTGTCAGAGCACACGCCAAGGCTGGATGCCATGCACTGTCCTCACACCAGCATGAAAGCAGCACGCTGCACCAGCCACTTCTAAGCCAAGGAGCACAGGAGGAAATCAGACGTGCTGAAGCCATTCCTCCACCTCTGCTAACTCTAGCTCTTTACACGGGTGCACAAAAATAAAGGCAAATCCTTAACTCTCCCATAGGGTGCTGGTAGTGCTTCCCCTCTGACCATCACACCTTATTAAGCTTGGAAAGCACAGCTGGAAATGACTTTTTAGGGACTTAAAATACAGACTGCCTGCTGAATCCTCTTCTTGAACAAAAGTATTATATGTCAAAGCAAAATACACTGAGCCCCAGGAATAAGTGACATTTATAATCTACCTCAGCCTGAGAAAGGGTTCGAATTTTATACTTAAAGAAAAAAGGATTTTTGGCATTATGCTTCCAAATTTTCTCCATTTACTAAATCTGAACAGTTTTTCCTAATCTACCGGCTTAGATGTTGCTTAATGTCATGGTTTTCAGACCACCGTTTCCCAGATAGTTATGTAAGAGGAGTTCAACAGACAGAGGTAAATCTGATATGCACAGTACTTGAGGCAGAAAAACAAGACCGAGCAAAGCAGCTAGTTTTTCTTAATCTGAATCAACAACTTAGAAACTTTCTCCAAGACAATTTCCTTTTTTTGACCTCAGTATTCAAATGTTTGAAAAACAGGGTAATTATGAAGCTAGCATCGCTATGAGCTCCACAGAAAGTGCATCATGCTCTCTATTTAAGCTGAGCTGATTTTGAGCTTTTCCTGGAAACTAGAGATCAACACAAAGTCTGCTGAAGACAATCAGGTGCATTAACAAAAGGAAACCAGGACAGCCAGCAATAAACCACTGTGATTAAACCACGGCACTCAAGAGGCTGTGTGAGCCAAAAGAGAAA